GATAAACACGTTTAGATTGAATGGTAATTTATAATCAGTCACAAGAACGTCGAATCTGAATCACTTGAAAAAAACATGGGGGTGCTTAACTTTTTTCCAGGTGTATACAATGGTAAACAGATTGAAGGTGGCACTCATTGAAAATGATGTAACGTTTTACATTAAATTTAATATTAGTTATAGCATAAAGGGCTATCTGTGATCTGCCCACCACGGGTATCGAAACCCGGTTTCTAGTGGTATAAGTCCGCAGACATACCGCTGTGCCATTGGGGGCTACAGTTTCTTGTGCACTCGCTTAATGTAAGTATATAAAACCTACTTATCCTATATTACCATAAAAACTTTCTACCTCAGATATAGCAGATCGTCGCCAGGGGGAGATGGTTCGGAAGATGTAGCAGATCGTCGCCAGGGGGAGATGGTTCGGAAGATGCGAATGTTTGTTTGTTTTGGATTTCGCGCAAAGCGACACCAGGGCTAGAGGGAAGGCAGTTAGTCATCACCACCCACCATCAACTCTTGGGCTACTCTTTTACCAACGAATAATGGGATTGACCGTCACGTTAGAACACCCCACGGCTGAAAGGGCAAACATGTTTGGTGGGACGGGGATTCGAACCCGCGAAAGATGCGAATGAACCTCCTTTTGGACCAAAAAATAAACGTTAACTTCACGAGCCGCCATATTTCCTTGTAGATTAACAGCGTATCCTTAGCACTACCATAACGTATTCTAACGTACTAAACTGTCTCGTATCTCAGTATAACAGAAATGGACATATTCTACACCTTGACCGTACTGACCATATACTGTAAAATCACGTTCTGACCATGATAAATCCTTCGTATTTTTAATTACGCTGGGGAAAATTAATACGCTTCAGAAGGTTGTAGTTTTTTGTTCACACCTACGTATTCCTAGCCAGTTCGATACGGTACGATACAGTGCTTAAAGGATCCAAATGACATTACGCCTGTTTCATATTCTATAATAAGATGTAAAAGTTATAAAAATGGGCTTTGCATGTGTATTTTTGATGCACACATAAACTTTAATGAAATTATAAGTAGATAGAATCCAGTTTATTTTTGAAAGTTGTATTAATATATATTTCAACATAATTCGCTCAACATAGAGTTCTCGCCATAACACGTGTTGCGGCGAGAACTCCCGGCCGGTGCGTGAGTGTGTCTTTCTGGTGGGCCTGTTCGAAGCAAATAAACTCAAACAAATAAGAAGACCTGCACTTCATGATGTAGTGTCATCAAGTTTCAAACTCGGAAGATTTTTTTGGGCTATTTTCGTCTCTCTCTCTAAAGGGGTTTCTTCTTCACAAAGTGGAGCAAAGAGGGATCGCTTGAGCTCTGAGCAACCCCTAAGTAAGCCTAAATACCTACAAGGGACGGAAGAAAATATTCGAGAAAGATGCACGACGAACACAGCTGAACCGCCCCCCCCCCAATCTCTAAAAAACCCCGGCAACGCCCGTGTATACAGCAATATTTTTCACTCATAGATTTTTCAGAATATTAATTTCTAGAAGTAACAACAAGTAACAACGTTGTGTAAAGTAACAACAAGTAACAATGTTGTGTAAAGTAACAACGTTGTGTAAAGTGTAAGTAAGCGTATGTGTTTTTTATAGCGTTAATTACTGTGTCATTTGAAGTTGCTCAGACAGCAAACAAAGAACAAGACAGGCGAGATGAATTCTGAAACCCACTTGTTGGAACGAAATTTTATTTTCGTTTCTTTAATTTAGTAAAAGTTCCACTATTTTACGAGCAGGAAATGTTCCGTATCTCAGGTCGATGGAAAATAGTTTGTTGTTGGAGAAATAGGTGGCGAAACGAGAGAGAGAAAAAAAAAACTTCAACAAGCAAAGCACAAAGGATAAAAATAAAACAAAATAAGAAAGCTACTTAATATGAAAACTTAATGAGATTGCTGGACTGCTAAGTCAGAAGGCTCTGTATACATAAGGACCATACATTTTGGAGCCATCAATCTGTTACTCATTTGGCTAAATGATATCGCAATTAGATTTCGATTAGAACGTAAGTCTTGTTACGTGTCTGTTGGTAGTTTTCCACGTAGATCGATATATATTCCAAAGAAAAGGCCAAACATTAACTGGTTAAATTTTCGTGACTTCATGTAATAGCTGATTAGTCTTTCCTTGTAAAGTCTGAATAACAACAACAACTGGTACTTGAATTTACTTTATAGATCCAACCACGATATGTCGGAATTTAAATTCACTTTCAAGCGAACAAAAACCTCCTGCTATTAGGATGCGTCACTTAGGGGGCGACAGGCGCGGCAACCCCTCCCAAGTCCAGTAGGGGGCCCACTATGGCAGTTTTCATGGTCTTGAAATATTTCTAGCCGAGAAGGATTAACACATACACAAATTACGCTACAATATAGGATCCCCACGCGAAGTCAAGCCTTCTTTGCCCCCCCCCCCCTTCAAACTCTTTTTTTGTGAAATAACGCTCCGGGCTTTTCCTAGAGGTAGGCTTAACGTTCAAGTTAGGCCTTGTTATACTCAGATTGCACAACTAATAAAAGTATGAAGTTTACAATTCACTATAGTGAATATGTTTGTCTGTTGAACATTATTTTCTAACTACTCAGTCCCGGAGGATTTGGTTTTGGTTTGTTTGGAATTTCGCGCAAAGCTACAAGAGGTCTATCTGCGGTAGCCGTCCCTAATTTAGCAGTGAAAAACTAGAGGGAAGGCAGCTATTCATCACCACCGCCAACTCTTGGGCTACTCATTAACCAACGAATAGTGGGATTGACCGTCACTATATAACGCTCCCACGGCTGAAAGGGTAAGTATGTTTGAAGGTACGGGGATTCGAACCCGCGACCCTCAGATTGCGAGTCAAGCGTCCCGGAGGAAGCTGCATTTTGCTGGCAGGCCATCAAGTGTGTGTATATATAGCTTATATAAAAATGATAAGATCCTCTGTTGTATTGATCAATAAAATGTTTAAGGTCACATGATCACTAACCTAAAATGTGGTAGGGCTTTAACCCTACTAGCCACACCGCTTCCGCCGGCCTTGCTACTACAACTTGCTACACTAATTTTCTGCTTGCCTAAAAGGATGAGAAAATAAGGCTTCGCTGTAAATCTTTTTTAATGATTTTTGGCTCGGTGACAATGTCAAAAGCAAGTAAAAACTGACTTTACTGGAGTCATGTCCTACACGTGTAATTTCCCGCCTAATTTTAGTTTGATTCTTGCTTTACGTCAAGAAACGAATCTAGATTTTTAAATATGATCCTTGAACATAATTCGCTTACAGTTTTTTTTAAATTAAAAATATTATCTTCTAGCATAATCTAAAATCTAAAAATATATATATATATATATATAAATTACTTTAAACATAGACTAAGAAGGTGGCGGGCTCCTCGGGATTGAGTCAGCAAGTCTAATAATCGAGAAAGAAAGAAAAATAAAGTATCCACTGCAGGCATACCAGTTTATCCTTAGTTATCTTGTACAGTTCCATGGAATTATTAAGATCCAACTCATTCAGTCTGTTACTTAGTCGCATCAGGCCGACGCGTAAGACTTCAGAATCAGGTTGGCATAGCAACTGTTGAGTTCTGTTGAGAAATTCTTCCGTCGTTAACATTTGGACTTCCTGTGGCTGTAGAAAAAAAATATTCTATTGTTTACTATTGTCTTTCATAACGCATTAAAACCCACTATTTAAGAACCAGGTTATATTTTTGTTAATATTCTGATTTTTTAAAAAAATCTCTCATTTGTTATATTTTTTATTGCTTTAAAAAACCTATCAAACTCCTGCTTTCAGATCTCTGATCAACATTTTGGAAAATAATATAAAAACTGATACCAGATGTAACTTAAGGATTTGGAAGAAGTTTACTGTTGGAAATGAGCACTTCAGTGCAAACACATGGAAAAAGTTTACTGTTGAAAACGAGCACTTCAGTGCAAACACATGGAAGAAACTTTACCGTTAAAACGAGCACTTTAGTGCAAAAAAAATATATGAGAAAAGTTTACTGTTAAAAACCAGCACTTCAGTGCAAACATATGGAAAAAAAGCTTACTGTTTAAAAATGAGCACTTCAGTGCAAACACATTTTGTAAATTTTATTAGATTTTCTCCTGTTGTCATATTGTAGTATTCTTACCATTGCCAAGGTGAAGTCTTCTTCCAGTTTCTAACTTATATTTTTTCTTCTTGCTAAGTTTTAGTTTTTTTCACCCTACTAATTTGTAGTTTTGTGTGCTTAAATTGTAGTTGTTTTTCACTTTGTTAAATTATAGTTTTTCTGTTGTTAAGATGTAGTTTCGTGCTGCTAAGTTGCTAAGCGATACTTTTCTTGTTATTAAGTAATAGTTTTACTGCTGCTCTGTTGTAGTTTTCACGTTTTTGAGATGTAGTTTCGTGCTACTAAGTTACAGTGTTCTTGTTGCCAAGTGATACTTTTCATGTTGTTAAGATATATTATCGAGCTGTTAAGTTATAATTTTCCTGCGGCTAAGTTGTAGTTTTCATGTTGTTAAGATATAATTTTGCTGTCGCTAAGCAATAGTTTTAATGTTGCTAAGTTGCACATTTTTCCTGTTGCTAAAGATTAATAACGTTGAGTGTTTTAGTATCAGTTAAAGAAAATTATGTGATTACAATTTACGCGTTTTAAGTTAATGAATTTTAAAGTAAAATCTGCGTCGAGTCTCTTAATATAGTTAATGGCATTGTTATACATGTTTTTAACAGGCTGTCACGAGTTGGCCGGTTGTGTGTAATGAATAAAAATAAATAAATTTTCACACTACTTATTATTGGTAAAATTAATTAATTAATCAAACACGGAAACTTTTAAGTAATAACATTTATCGTTTCGGGTATGCCTTAATGGAAAGTGAAGTAATATTGGGTATTTGTATATAAGTTTAGAAACTCTTTACGAAACGTAATCAGTGAAATTATGGCTTGTTACATCCTAGCGATAAATTTATTACTCTTTTAATATATTATACGATGTAATTAGATTAATGACTACGTACGTTAAGGAATAAGCACACTATCGGGTGTTTGTAAGTTATCGAATAATTCAGTTGATTAAGAATACGCAGATTAAAAAAATACGTACAGCATTGAACAAGAGAGTTATCCAATACGTAAATGATTGAATTCGCATATTAACAAACGCGTAATTTACCATGAACACAGATTATCGAACAAGCACACAAATCATTGAATATGCTGATGAATGAATACTATTGTTACTTTCTAAGTAAATGGCAACTTTGACGAGTTACGTAAAGTATAAACATTTCTCAGGGTATTTTACAAGTTTAATTTGATGTCATATAAAGATTTAAGTATATTTGATGAGATTAATTCGACGTCAAATCTCATCTAAAGAGATTTTAGCTAGTAACAAAGGTTTGGTTTGTTTTGAATTTCGCAGTGATAAACTAGAATGAAGGCAGCTAGTCAACACCACCCTCCGCCAAATATTCGATTATTATTTTACCAACGAATAGTGGGATTGACCGTCACAGTATAACGCCCACACGGCTGAAAGGGCGAGCATGTTCGATGAGAGGGTTGGAACCTGCGACCCGCAGATTGCAAGTAGAACACCCCCTAACCACCAGTCCTAGTAACAAAGGATAACATTTTAGCGTTGACTGCTCCATCAGTATTTACTGTGATGTGTTGTGGGATTTGTATAATGAAAACCTATCATCTAAACCAGGATTTTCTGACCCATGGGTCGAGACCCAAAATTGGGTTGTCAGAATAATTAAAGGGTCGCGAACACACTTTGAAAACGGTTTATTTAGTTAGTAAGTAAATATTCAGTAAGTCTGACGTATTTTTGTATTAAAGGTATTTACTGAGTCACGACTGACAACCAATGTTAAAAAACGGGTCGTAACCCCCAAAAGGTTGAGAACCACTGGCTTAAACCGTGTCATCATTAAAGTTTTCCTTATTTCTTTGGTAGAGCACAGTTTGAAAAAAATACCAATGAGAAATATGTGAAGGGATGTTTCAGAGCGAACACATGTTGGGCCGGGTATGGCCTAGTGGTTAGCGCACCTAGACGGTGATTGCACGGGTTAATGGGTCGCGTTTTGTTGCCGAAAAAAAACAAACAAATACGCTCCATACTTTTGTGGCCTTGGGTGCACTGTAAGAGTAACAGTCAAACCCCACTATACGGTCAGACAAGACTAGCCCAAGAATTAGTGGGCGCTGCCGACTTGCTGTTTTCCCATTAGATTGATAGTTCATAGCTAGAAACGGCTACGGGCAGATAGCCCTCGTGTATCTTTGGGGAAAAAAATCGTATATATAAATATATATAAAACGAACACATGATGTAAGTAAGACTAGTTTGCACCGCACGACAATCGTATTCTCGCGCGGACTTGCTCAAGTTTAAATTCCGAAAACCCCTGTGAAAACATTTAAGTTTTCGGTCATTTTCGTAAAAAAAAAACTGGCAATTTTGAGACGTTTATTTCATAACGCAGGAGCTTTTTTGTTTTAATTGAGGACGACACATTTCAAATTAATACTCACAGACACACATACATATGGGCATGCACTTTCTATTTGACCAATCATAGACTGCCACGCTAAGGTTTCATTGTTACTAACCTTTAGCATTAAGTCCGCCACTTCTTGCGTTTCACAACTGCTACTTAGCCTGAAAAAAGGAAATGAACGACAATAGAGGGCGCTATAATGATGAAACTTTTCATCCTTAATGAATGACAAACTTGACTAAATATTTCTTTTTTCTGCAGATAAATTCCTTTTAAAAGCCTTATTATGTGTTTTTTCTCTTTAGTTTATAGAATTAATTTATATATAAAAAAACGAAGATTGAAGCTGCCGAAATCTCGGGAGCATTCTTTGAATGATCGACAAAGGTTTACTTTTTTAAAACTAAAAACAAGTCGTCTTAACCTTTATCCTGCTTAGTCAGTCTTCAGGTGGCTATTCTTGAGATAATAACGTTTACTGTATGCTTTGAGACATTTTTAAACTAATTGAAGGCTATTCATGTAAGCGTTATTAACGAAAATAACTAACACTAGTGCCATTCGTAAAACATTGTGAGCTACCTGGTGGTACTTGTCATAATAACGAACATTAGTACCATTCGTAAAACATTGTGAGCTATCTGGTGGTACTTGTCACATTAACTAACACTAGTACCATTCGTAAAACATTGTGAGCTATCTTGTGGTACTTGTCATAATAACTAACACTAGTGCCATTCGTAAAACATTGTGAGCTATCTGGTGGTACTTGTCATAACAGCTAACACTAGTACATTCGTAAAACATTGTGAGCTATCTGGTGGTACTTGTCATAATAACTAACACTAGTGCCATTCGTAAAACATTGTGAGCTATCTGGTGGTACTTGTCATAATAACTAACACTAGTGCCATTCGTAAAACATTGTGAGCTATCTGGTGGTACTTGTCATAACAGCTAACACTAGTACCATTCGTAAAACATTGTGAGCTATCTGGTGGAACTTGACATAATAACTAACACTAGTGTCATTCGTAAAACATTGTGAGCTATCTGGTGGAACTTGACATAATAACTAACACTAGTACCATTCGTAAAACACTGTGAGCTATCTGGTGGTACTTGTCACGTTAACTAACACTAGTACTATTCGTAAAACATTGTGAGCTATCTGGTGGTACTTGTCACATTAGCTAACACTAGTACTATTCGTAAAACATTGTGAGCTATCTGGTGGTACTTGTCATTCTTGCTGTGACTCGTTGAATTTTGTGCTCTAGTAATTCTGACTTTTTGAAATTTTTATTTAGTCACTACGAATTTTTGAAGATTTTGCTGTAGTCACTTGTTTAAGTGTTTCTTCAGTTAACATTAATTTTTGAAGATGTTGCTGTAGTTACTCACTTGTTGAAGTGTTTCTTTAGTTAATATTAATTTTTGAAGATTTTGCTGTAGACACTCACTTGTTGAAGTGTTTCTTTAGTTAATATTAATTTTTGAAGATTTTGCTGTAGTCACTCACTTGTTGAGGTTTCTTTAGTCAGTATTAATTTTTGAAGATTTTGCTGTAGTCACTCACTTGTTGAAGTGTTTCTTTAGTTAATATTAAAGTTGAAGATTTTGCTGTAGTCACTCACTTGTTGAAGTGTTTCTTTGGTTAACATTAATTTTTGAAGATTTTGCTGTAGTCACTCACTTGTTTAAGTGTTTCTTTAGTTAATAATAATTTTTGAAGATTTTGTTCTATTAACTGGTCTGTTGAAATATTTTCTTTGGTCACTCTGGTTTTAAGGTCGAGCACTACACTTCTTTACAGTACAGTTTGTGTTAGAAGGCACTTTTACTTAAAGAAAGTGTCGTGACCTCTCGCGGGAAACATTTAATCTTCTGACTCGTGAAAAATTCTGTTGTATAAATAAATAATCTACAACCAGACAGACATATGTTCTATACAAGTTATCTGGCGATTGAACAAATTGCAGAATTTTGTAAAAAATAAACGCGCGTTAATAAGAGAAATCACTGAGTTTATTGACGAAAATAGGGCTGTAAATTAATTGATACCGTTTTTCAATCCACCGTTTCATTATTATTATTATTAACGATACTTGGAGTAACCGTACGGTTATGTTTATGTACTTAACTACAATAAATAGTCATTATCAAAAAATAGTTTCCTAAACTTTGAAATAACATGCATGAATAAAAAAATAAATAAACAGCGATTTAGAACCTTACCTTCCTGAAGTGGCTCCACCTGTAACAGAGAAAAAAGAATATTCAAACATACACATTAATTTCATTTTACTGCAGATACATTATTATTCTATAAAATAAATTGTTGCCATTCTCGTATCGTCACAAGTACTCATTAACATAACTAGAAATTTATTCTTGTTCAAGACAGATGGTTAACGTGGGTTTAGCCCTCTACAAGCATTCAAGACAGAGGGTTAACGTGGGTTTAGCCTCCTACAATTATTCAACTTGAGAAACTTAATCCATCAGTGTAGCGGTAAATCTACACACTACTCTTCTCAGGGGCCCGGCGTGGCCCAATGGTCAGCTTGCCGGATAGCGAAGCTTAGATGCCATGGCTCGCGTCCCGATACGGAAAAAAAAGTCGCGTTCCGTATTTTGGGGCCGTAAGTTCGTTATAAAAGTGACAGCCACATCCAAGTATTATTGCATAACACGAGTAACGCAAGAGTTATCGATGAGTGTCATTAACTTGTTGAGCTTTTTCTAGTGTATCACTTTTTTTGCTTCTTTCCATACCTTACCCATTCACCGTTTTGTTGCGTCTTTCTATGTTTTATCCATTCATCTTTTTGTTTTGTCTTTTCATGCTTTACCCATTCATCGTTTTGTTGCGTCCTTCCATGTCTTACCCATTCATCGTTTTGTTGTGTCCTTCCATGTCTTACCCATTCATCTTTTTGTTGGGTCTTTCCATTCCTTATTCATTGGACATTTTGTTGTGTCTTTTCATACCTTACCCATTCATTTTTTGTTGCGTCTTTCTATGTTTTATCCATTCACCTTTTGGTGGTGTCTTTTCATGTTTTGCCCATTCATCGTTTTGTTGCGTCCTTCCATGTCTTACCCATTCATCGTTTTGTTGCGTCATTCCATACCTTATTTATTCGACATTTTGTTGTGTTTTTCCATTACCCATTCATCGTTTTGTTGCGTCATTCCATACCTTACCCATTCACCTTTTGGTGGTGTCTTTTCATGTTTTGCCCATTCATCGTTTTGTTGCGTCCTTCCATGTCTTACCCATTCATCTTTTTGTTGCGTCTTTTCATGCTTTACCCATTCATCGTTTTGTTGCGTCATTCCATACCTTATTTATTCGACATTTTGTTGCGTCTTTCCATACCTTACCCATTCATCGTTTTGTTGCGTCATTCCATACCTTATTTATTCGACATTTTGTTGTGTTTTTCCATTACCCATTCATCGTTTTGTTGCGTCTTTCTTGCTAGCTTTAGATATTTGACTTCACCAAAATCCACTAACTGTATGCCTGAAGGATACAGAAACACGGATATTCAATTACCTAAAAGCATTAGATTTAATCATGGGAATGGGTATTATTTGGTATCATTAATAATAACTGCATTCTTATCCAAACATCTTACATTGTTCACTGCAGACCTTGTTTCTGTTCGAGATATTCACGCACAGGAACTATGCCACCATAATTTGTCACGTTTTTATGGTCATCTGCACGTGCTTAGTTCTCATACGAGTTATATAGGTTATGCTAATATTTGTGAGTTTATACATGTGCACACAATAGGTAGTTTTGATACATAATTTTGTTACTGTAACGTTAACTAAAACTGAAATTAGTTAACCGGAACATTTTGATCAAAGCTAAGTTTAGGTTTTGTAATAAATGTTCGTATTTAGCAGAGCGACATCTTGCGAGAGGAACCGTAAGAGACAAAACATCGCGCGAGAATTTACATGAAATCATTACAGATTTAATGATGAAAATTTCATGCAACATTTGTTAAAAATTTGATTTGTTTTCTCTTGTTTAAACCCCGAATTCTGAAGATATTCGAAATGTTTTAAACATATTCCGTTTCGCATGGTCGCTTGCAAGAATGTTTGTTGTTTTAAATTTTTTTCTTTGTGGGTATAAGTGACCTCCTTGGAACTAAGTGTAATTCTTCTACGTACATAACAGACACCTTTATAAGCTTTAGATACTCTGGTTCTCTGAAACCTTCAGCTCCACAGAGCTTTATTTTAGTAGCACATATGTATTTCATTTTGTAGAATGTCAAAACCTGCAACGAGAAACGCCAAACACTATAAATATCATGGTGGCAGGCCCCTGTCGCTTACACCCCTATTAAGTAAATGAGTTAAAATTTACATATATGAAAGATAAGGTAATAAAGTACATTAAATCTACATACAAGACGGATGGGGTAATAATGTAAATATGTCTGCTGTCATTCCTGTGGACTATTATCATTATGGAACTTGTTCATATTCATAAGTTATTAACGTTCGCATACATCAAATTCAAACTGTGTAGCAATATCAAACCAGAGGGTACAGTTAGAATGTGTAGTAACATTAAATCAGAGGTTAAACTTAGAATGTTTAGTAACATTAAATCAGAGGTTACAGTTAGAACGTGTAGCAACATTAAATCAGAAGTTACAGTTTGAATGTGTAGTAACATTAAATCAGAAGTTACAGTTAGAACGTGTAGCAACTTTAAATCAGGGTTTACTCTTGGAATGTGTAACAATATTAAAGCAGAAGTTACAGTTTGAATGTGTAGCAACATTAAATCAGAAGTTACAGTAAGAATGTGTAGTAATATTAAATCAGTTATTACAGTAAGAATGGGTAGTAACATTAAATCAGCTATTACAATAAGAATGTGTAGTAATATTAAATCACTTATTACAGTAAGAATGTGTAGTAACATTAAACCAGCTATTACAGTAAGAATGTGTAGTAACATTAAACCAGCTATTACAGTAAGAATGTGTAGTAATACTAAACCAGCTATTACAGTAAGAATGTGTAGTAATATTAAATCAGTTATTACAGTAAGAATGTGTAGTAATATTAAACCAGCTATTACAGTAAGAATGTGTAGTAATATTAAATCAGCTATTACAGTAAGAATGTGTAGTAACATTAAACCAGCTATTATATATTATTATATATATATTATTATCAATAATATTTTCAGAACGTTAGTGCTGGGCTTTTAACACCGAGTAAAGGTTTCGAGATGAAATATTCTCTATGTTTTGTAGATCTGGATCTCGCTTTTAGAAATACTTGCCGAATATTCGAAAGTCGGTAATAACTACTGCCTCCCCCCTTCTTTTCTCGTGCTTTCAATATAGTACTACTAAATTCTAACTACTGACCAGAAGAAAGGCTATCTGCTGCTGTCAATAATTTTGAACTACTGACCAGAAGAAAGGCTATCTGCTGCTGTCAATAATTTTGAACTACTGACCAGAAGAAAGGCTATCTGCTGCTGTCACTAATTTTGAACTACTGACCAAAAGAAAGGCTACCTGCTGCTGTCACTAATTTTGAACTACTGACCAAAAGAAAGGCTATCTGCTGCTGTCACTAATTTTGAACTACTGACCAAAATAAAGGCTACCTGCTGCTGTCACTAATTTTGAACTACTGACCAGAAGAAAGGCTATCTGCTGCTGTCACTAATTTTGAACTACTGACCAGAAGAAAGGCTATCCACTGTCGTCCTTAATTTCAATTACTGACCAGAAGAAAGGCTATCCACTGTCGTCCTTAATTCCAATTACTGACCAGAAGAAAGGCTATCTACTGTCGTCCTTAATTTCAATTACTGACCAGAAGAAAGGCTATCTACTGTCGTCCTTAATTTCAATTACTGACCAGAAGAAAGGCTATCCACTGTCGTCCTTAATTTCAATTACTGACCAGAAGAAAGGTAGTCATTAGCACCCCATCACCCACCATCTATGCTAAGAGATTGAAAATCACCCTTATAAAGCAACCGAAACTTAAAGTACGGGGGGGGGGGATTTTGTGAAATCGCACGGATTCGAACCGGACCCACCAGATCTGAAATCCAGAGCTCCATCACAGGGCCAACAAACGCCCTATTAAACACTACTAATGATTACTTTGAATTCTTAAAAACACGTTAGAAAAATAACAAAGCATATCTAAAGCTGATCATTGTTAAAGATTTAAAATTATTTTTTATTTAGTCTATTAAACAGATTTTAAATATGTCATCGTGCTAGGTATAGAGAGTAATGGCATCGGAGCTTCTCTGTTCATTTTTAAATTTTTCTAATGAATACACGAACTGTAAAATAAACTTAAGTTGTAGATATAGTTCTTTACAGTATTAAACGTGCACGGAAACTATAGAAATTATTGTTTGAAATGGTAATTTAAAAAAAAAAATCTAGTTATATCTTTTAAGATGCTTTTTAAACCACATATAATGTATATCGGTTGTATTTCTTTGATTCGTATATGGTAATACAAACTTAACTGATAAGTGTGTAAAAATATAAATAAATTAAATGTCAGGAATACAGGAATACACAGATGGAGTTCAATGGAAGGAACGTTATAGGAGTTTAGTTAGTGGTTCGGCATGAAACATTTCACCACACACACTACTGGTTACCAAAACTCTGTAGTCAGAGACGGAGAGGCGGACGGTAACCTCTAAACACGCGCCTTTTAAAATATATACTCTTCTTCTGTGTGAATATAACATTTTAGAAATATGAACTAACCTAAACGAGTTAACTAATTAATCGTAACTAGATATTAGTAAAAGAAATACTCTAACGTAACAGAACTAACCTAAACGAGTTAACTAATTCTAGTTACGATTAATTAGTTAACTCGTTTAGGTTAGTTCTGTTACGTTAGAGTATTTCTTTTACTAATATCTAGTTACGATTATATTAGTAAAAGGAACACTCTAACCTAACAGAACTAACCTAAACAAGTTAACTAATTAATCGTAACTAGATATTAGTAAAAGGAATACTCTAACGTAATAGAACTAACCTAAACAAGTTAACTAATTAATCGTAACTAGATATTAGTAAAAGAAATACTCTAACGTAACAGAACTAACCTAAACAAGTTAACTAATTAATCGTAACTAGATATTAGTAAAAGGAATATTCTAACGTAACAGAACTAACCTAAACGAGTTAACTAATTAATCGTAACTAGATATTA